GAAGGCCACAGCCCCGTATCCAAGGTGGATTTGAGGGGCTGGCGTCCCCAAATCCCCGCTGATGAGAAGGTGGAATCCGTGCTCCTCACCCAAACCTTCATTCCCACTGGAGTCAATGGGAGCTTGGAAGTTCTTCCCTCTGAGGGTGGTGGGATGTTGGGATGGGTTGGAGGGAGAAGCTGGAAGTGTTGAAGGCCACGTTGGATGGAGCTTGGAGCAACCTGCTCCAGCGGAAGCTGTCCCAAAGGCTCGGATCGGGATGAGCTTGAAGGTCCCATCCATTGGGAAGGGTCCCGTTCCACCATTCCATCCCTTCTTCTCTCTCCTCCTTTCCCTTCCCGAGCTGGAAAGGGTTATGGGTTGCTGGGCCTCTTGGATGAGCTCCACCTCCTCCTCCTCCTCGGCGATCCCAAAGGAACGCCGGCGTGTCGGAGCGCCCGACCTCTCGCGCGGTGGTGGCACGTCTTCGGTGGTGCTTCGGGCCAGCGGAAGACAAAGAGCGGCCCCAAATCCGGCTGGAGGAGAACAATTCCAGCTCTATTTCTGTTCCGTTGGGAGATTACATCAGCCTGGAATTCCTTTCTTCCCTCTGCTGGAGCTGACCCGTCGTTCACATTGGGCGTTCCGAGCTGCGCAATTCCCCATCTGGAAGACATTTGGACTAAGCAGGATCTCCAGGCTTAGAACATCATTCCGGGTGGGATGGAAGGAGGAAAGAAGCTTCCCTCCCCCCACCTCTTCCAAAGTCCCGCATCCAGCTCTGGTGCCCCCAACGCAAGAGGGACATGGAGCAGGTCCAGAGGAGATGCAGTGAGAAGGCTCTGAGGGCACCTTGGAGCAGCTCCCGGTGCTCTGAGGAACATGGAGAGGGGCTTTGGAGGCAGGGATTTAGGGATGGGATGACTTTGGGCATCCAAGTGGAAGAGGCAAGTGTTGGGTGAAGGTGCTGGGCCGCTTGGAATGGGTTGAAAGGAGAAGCTGGGGCTGTGGCCAAGGCCAGCCCTATCCCTGGAATTAGATGAGCTTTAAGGTCCCTTCCAGCCCGAACCATTCCATGATTCCATGCTGGAAGCCCAGAGGCGGGGGTCTGGCCACGAAAGGGATCTGGGGGGTTTTGTGACCACCCGTTGCCATCAAGCCCCTGGCCCTTGGGGCCGCTTTGCCGGGCAGGTGCTTCCCAGCTTCCCACCACTTGTTCCCTTTCTTCCCGGCTTCGCAAACCTTGGAATTCCATCCCTCTCCTGGGCTTGAAGGGGAGGGGGGGGGAGGATGTGGGTTGACTCCAGATGGTTTGATGTGCTGGACCTCATCTGCTCTCAATTACCACTTGATGGCAAGTCCAGAGCTTAGGAGAAAGATCTGGAAGAGCCGACAGCTGGTTTGGATTGATGGAATTGCAGGTTGGGAGAAGAAATCCAGGCTTGAGGTGGGTGGCTTTTCCTTCCGGCCCAGCTTGGGAATGTGCTTTTCATCCCATCCCATCCCCCCCCCTCCCCGCCTTCTCCTCTCCCTCCTTCTCCTCCTCTTCCTTTCCCTCCTCCTCTTCCCTTGCTCACATGTGGCTGGAATGGAAGGAGCTGCGCTTCCCACCGTGCCCTTTGGGGCTGGGAAGCTGGGATAGGGAACGGAGCACGGGATGGGCGCGATCCTTAAGGCTGGAGAAGGGGGGATCGGGAGGGGTGAGGAGAGCAGCCGGACGTGGCCTTTTGGTGGCTCTCCGAGGAGGAAGAGTGATGGGCTTCAGCCTCGGAGCTGCTGCTTCCCCTCGCCTACAACTGGGTTACTCCTGGTCTCAAGCCCTTAGTACTGCTGCGAGTGGAGCTGCTGCCCCTCCGGGTCTTCTGCTTGAGGTCCCTGGTGCTCCACCACCGGTAGAGCCCGAGGAGGAGCCACCCTTGGCCACGCACCCATCGAGCAGGGGCTCCTCTTCCCCCAGTGCACCAGCGCCGGGAGCTTCCTCCTGGGAGCAACCCAGTTGTAGGAGCGGGCAACGAGCAGCTCCAAGGCTGTGGGAGTGGAGAAGGCTCCGTGGAGACCTTGGAGCAGCTTCCAGGAAGCTGGGAAAGGGCTTTGGATAAGGGATGTAGGGATGGGATGAGGAGTTTGGGGCTTGCAACTGGAAGAGGGAGGAATTAGGTGGGATCTCGGGAAGTTCTTCGCTGGGGGGACATGGGGATGGGTTGGAAGGAGAAGCTGCCCCATCCCTGGCAGGTTCAAGGCCAGGTTGGAGCTTGAAGGTCTCTTCCAACCCATTCCATGACTCCAGGAAGGATGTTCCGGCTCATCGAGCTGCTGCAATTCCAGGCTGCCTATTCCCATTCCATGTCTCCTTACTCTGGGAGCCTGGAAGCACGTTGGGAAGACATCACTCTGTATCCCACCTCCCTTCATCCCTGCTCTTTGGCTTGGGATGGGTTGAGTAAGGAGCTTGCTTCTCCTTGTATCCCAACCGCTTGATGCCATTCCAAGCCCTCCATCACCCGTGCTTGGCTGGTGGGTTTCCTTTCCCATTCTCCATGAGCTGGGAATGTCGGAGCAGCCTCTCTGCCACGTTGAGGATCTTCTTCCTGCTTTCTGGAAGGTGTCCGTATGCATCGAGGAGATGCCAGGCCTTTAGTGGGACCTCCTGCAGGAGGTGGAACATAGGATACGGAAAAGAGGGAATGAATTCCTATGGGAAGGAGAAATTCCACTCATCCTGCCTTTTTCGGGGGGGAGGGGGGTGGATTTTAGGGCTTTCCTTTGGGATTTTGATGCTCTTTAGGTTGAAGTGAAGGAAAGGGAGAACTTGATGTGGTGTTTTCCAAGGACACCTCGGAGAAGGCTCCGGTGTAGTAGGAAAGACATGGAATGAAATGAGGTTTTGGCACAGGGATGAGGTTCATGGCACAGGGAATGACCCGAAATCCAGAGGGAGGAGGAGTTTTCCCTCTCATCTTGTGGACATCCAGGTTTTTCTTGATCTGTGGGAATTTCATGCCTTGAGCTGCGGTCGTTATTCCGGGCTTCATCCTTTTGTAGCTTGGGAAAGGAACGGCGGGACCTTCTCACGGTGCTTCCGCCTGTGAGTAAAGGCCTCGTAGGAGATACTCAAGCCTGAGGAGCAACACCTATGGCTTCATTCAGGGGCCATTCCAAGCTGGAAAACAGCCTTTGGAAGCTGCATTCATTTCCAAGCAGGATTTTAGACTGGGAAAGAGGAATGGGGGGGATTTGGGGAAGGGATTCCAAGCGAACGAGGTGGAAACTCCCTCCTTCTTCCCTGCTTCCTGCCATTCCCAGCTCAAAGGGCCTCTTTTCCCTTAGGTCTATGCCCCGTCAGCCAGCACTGCCGACTACAACCGGGATTCTCCAGGTTATCCATCCTCCAAACCAGCAGCCAGCACTTTCCCAAGCTCCTTCTTCATGCAAGGTAAGGAATTGGGTCCCATCTCTTTCCTCTGTCAAAGGATTTAGGGAAAGGGATGGGAAGGGGTTCCCTACTCATGGAATTCCAGGGGGGGAGCGACCTCAAGGATCATCTGCTCCAACCTTTTTAGGCCAGACAGGTCCTAAGTTACGTGTCCCAGCGCCCTTTGTCCACCCAAGTGTCCAACCTTGGGGAGTCCCCCACTTCCTTGGGGAGACGATTCCAGTGGGTGCTTGTTCCCATTGGGAAGCATTTGTGTCCAGTGGGAATGTCCTCAGGAGTAAGTTGTGGCCGTCGCCCCTTGTCTTTTCCATGGCATTCCCACTTGCAGGAACAGAACCTCCGTTCCTACGTCCCCTCCACGTGAAGGGGGGAGTGGAGAGGACAAAGGGGGATTTAGGTGGGATCTAAGGAAGCAATTCCTCACTGGGAGAGCGGGAAGCACTGGCCCAGCTTATCCAAAGCAGTTGGGAATGCTCCATCCCTGGCCTTGCTCCAGGCCAGGTTGAACAGGGCTTGGAGCACCCTGATGGAAGGTGGCCCTAGTTGGACCTAGATGACCGTAGTAAGGTCCTTTCCATCCCGGCCCGTTCCATGCTGACTCGATGCCTGTTCCCTCTTGTCTCCCAGATGGCCATCACAGCAGTGACCCATGGAGCTCCTCCAGTGGGATGAACCAACCTGGCTATGGGGGCATGTTGGGCAACTCTTCCCACATCCCCCAGTCCAGCAGCTACTGCAGCCTGCACCCGCACGACCGCTTGGTAAGAGCACGTGGCTTGGTCTTCGTGGTGAGGACGTGCCTTTGGGTTGACCTACTCAACACCAGCGAGGTTCTTGGGCGAGGGGATGGTTGCATCGAGGTCCTGTTGCCATCGGGGAGCAGCAGCTCCATCCAGAAGCTCGTAGGGAGAACGTGCCTTGAGCTCAAGGTGGACCTTCGGCACCCTTCGGGTGGTCACAGGATATGGGTCCTTTGCTGGTCTGAGTGGGGTGGCTCAGGAATGAAGGTCCCTGTTGCTCCAGCCACGGAGCTACTAAAGCCGCCTGTTGGCCCCCGCTTGCTTGGACAACTCGAAGGTCCACGGTGACCCACCCCTGGAGACCTTGAGCCACCATAGAGCAGCCAAACATGTCTCCTAGTCCCAGCTTGGGTTTGATGGCCACAGCAAGCCTTGGAGGGCTTCTCCTCCAGCCAGAAGGTGTCCCTCTCATAAAGGTTTGGTTGATACCATCCCCAAACCTTTCTTGACTTCTTCTGCAGCGTTATGGTCCACCATCAGTTGGGGACCTCGGTGATGCAGCAGCATCAGGTGGGGACCTCTGTGATGTACCATCATACTTATGGACCTCTCTGATGTACCAGCATCAGTTGGGGACCTCTGTGATGTACCTTCTTACTTATGGACCTCTCTGATGTACCAGCATCAGGTGGGGACCATCCATAGGGCTTATTTCTCCATATCTAGGTAGGTGTCACCTATGTAGGTAGGTGTCCTATGTAGGTAGGTGACACCTCATAGGAGGTAGGTGTCTCCTCCAGAAGGCATCAAGCTCCTCTTAGGTCAATGGGCTGCTCTTCTCTTCACCCAAGCGCCGTCCCGCTTGGGCTGAGGCCACCAGAAGCAGCTTGGTACTCAGTGTGACCATGCTCTTCGTGCTCCAACTCTTGCCTTTCTCCATGCAGAGCTACCCATCGCACTCCTCAGCAGACATCAACTCCAGCCTTCCTCCGATGTCCACCTTCCACCGCAGCGGCACCAACCATTACAGCGCCTCTTCTTGCACCCCCCCGGCCAACGGCACCGACACCATCATGGGTGAGTTGAGGTCATCTCGGCTGCTCCGTTGCTCCTCTGGCCTCCAGAGGCCGAGGGGGAGAAGGACGTGGTGAGGACGGCGGGGTTGAGCTTCGCCTCCTCCCCTCGTGTCTTCTGCTGGGCTGGTGGAACTAGAGGAGCTTGAAGGTCCCATCCAGGCCAGCCCGTTCCATGGTACAGATGTGGACTTGGCTGATGGAGAAGAAGATCCATCAACACCAGCCCTAGATGCTCCAGAGGAGCTGGGGCTGCCCCATCCCTGGTTCGAGGGCAGCTTGGAGCAACCTGCTCTAGCGGGAGGTGTTGGAACTCGAGGAGCTTGAAGGTCCCTTCCAACCCAAAGCAGGCTGGGATTTTGGGAGCAAACCTCATGCTGGGGGGGCCACGACAAGAAG